AAGCGCAGTTACACTATAGTGCCATCCATGTAAACTAACCAGATCATACCTATCCGCCTCAAGCATTATTTGGCCTTTTCCTTTCCCTCAGCAGTATTTCGACCGCTTTTGTCATCTGGAATTGCTCTATCAAACCATGGTTTAGGATCCACTAGGTTATCCTTTTTATATCTCCAGGATTGTTTATCATCGCTTCGTAGGATCGATCTTTGGCTTGTCTCCAGATCTCAGCTCTACCATTTGACCATCGGGGGCAGGGCATAATCATGTGCTTAGGGTAGTGTGATTGGTAGCCGCATGGACAACCTGGACTTAATACTCCGGTCACGCTTCTTCTGTGTAAATACGAGTTAAGCCCCATGTGCCCACTTCGTATTTGCATTGCCAAACTGCTTTGGGTCCTTGTCAGGTTACGATGTAGGAAGAATGGTGAGCTTTGAAAACTCAAATTTTGCCATCCAGACTCTCTACTTTAGTAAAATTTGGCTGCTCTCCAAGTTTCAAAATTAGCAGTTGCTAACTGCCGAGGCTTCTGAGTTTGTATCTGCTTGGTCCAGGATTTAGCCCACTCTTGGTATGCCATAACTTTCACTAACTCTGTATGTGTCTTCTTGGTTTGTTGTTCACCGCATATTCCCGTCCAGTTGGCAAGATCTATCCTCCTGTTAACTGTTCGTCTATATTCTCTCCCCTTTCTGGGCAGCTTTATTTTACTACAGGCGGACTGGATTGTCTTCTGGACAGGTAAGTCCTTTGTGCGACCTAAATATTGAAGCCTTTGTTGCTTCAAGAATATTTCGATCGAGAGGGTGGCTGTTTCATGTTCCAACACTCTCGTGCTCGTAGACTTGTATGCCCCGATGACAATTTTGAGACAATTCCTCTGTATGCTTCTTAGAGGTCTTACTATCCTGATATTTTTATTTTATTTATCCACTTATGTCCTATTTGAGTTTCAAACTATATAGGACAGACTATTTAAAGACAAATTTTCTTTTTATTCCAATTGGCGGTTTTCTTCATTTGATGGTGGGATCCCCATTGCTGGTTCACTAGTTGGCAGCGATATATTTAGTGTAAATACAATAATTATACCACAATAGTACCTCGCCTTGCTAGACAACCTATGTGAACCATTAAATTACTTTATCTTATTCATATTTTTAATATTTATTTCACGGTTATCAATGATAGAGTCAGATGTTTGTTCCACGACGGAGCGACATTCCCATATTTTAGCTGACCTAGTTTGTTGGGTGCAAGCAGTATTAAAAAGAAACATCTGAGTGTTTAACTCATTTTATATTGGTGACAAGTAACCATTCGACGAAGGTATTGTAGATTGTAAAGATACTCATAGCATTCAGACACTGTCTACTTTCAAATTATAATATGGCCATGGACTGAAAAGCTCTTATGATATGAAAATTTACAGTGTTTCGGTTTGATCGAGTTTTCAGCTTATGTGGAGACCTAAGCATGAAATTGGAAATATTTCCAACAAAATTAAATGGTGATAGGAATTCGAAGATTAACGACATAGATATATTGATAAAGAAATTGTAGTGTTGGTATGACAAAGGTCATACATTAAAAGTCTATTAGTTCACTTAAAGTTATGAGAGTACTTGTGTAAGTATTTCGAACTATCGTTCAGAAGAAATGCGCATCCATAGTTGATTCGTTGTCTTAGTTTACAATGATGTTACAAGATATTAACTAAGTTGCGTTCGGATAAAGTACTATCCGAATGATGAAATCCACAACGAAGGAAATCGTTTGCATGTAAACCAAGAACCACCAACTCCAAGTAAACCAAGCTAAAGATGCTATTCCAACAATGTGACAATTCAATGGATAATTATGGTATGATAAGCTCAATCTCTGTGATAACACGGGTAGTGAAGATGGAGTTGCTACTGCAGAAGTGGTGGTTGATTAGGATGTTTTCAAAATTAATTGAATTTGATTTCATTATCCTGATTTGGCGCCCTATGGGCCCACGCAGGTGTCTACAGTCTATAATATGTATCCGGGAGGTAACCTTTGTGGTGAAAACCTCCCACACCTTTCTATTTATTGTCTATAGTTCTCACATATTTTCTTCAGGAAGCGCAGTTACACTATAGTGCCATCCATGTAAACTAACCAGATCATACCTATCCGCCTCAAGCATTATTTGGCCTTTTCCTTTCCCTCAGCAGTATTTCGACCGCTTTTGTCATCTGGAATTGCTCTATCAAACCATGGTTTAGGATCCACTAGGTTATCCTTTTTATATCTCCAGGATTGTTTATCATCGCTTCGTAGGATCGATCTTTGGCTTGTCTCCAGATCTCAGCTCTACCATTTGACCATCGGGGGCAGGGCATAATCATGTGCTTAGGGTAGTGTGATTGGTAGCCGCATGGACAACCTGGACTTAATACTCCGGTCACGCTTCTTCTGTGTAAATACGAGTTCAGCCCCATGTGCCTTCAAAATTATTTATTAATTCGCTTAATTGTCCTTTTGAGTCTTTTTTTTTTAAATCATTTAGGTGTATTCAGCTATCTAGCTATGACACATGACCGGTGCTATGTAAACATGTACGATGACTCTTTTGACGTTAGAGACACTCATACTCTGGATTTCATTCGCAAATACCACTATGAGGTAAGCTTGCTTACACAAACAGTCGAACCTCCTCCGTAAGTACCCACCAAAGGGACGTTTCAAAACCTCTGGTTATCCAAGCATGCCTTCGTCATCCATGCACACCAGCGCCGCGAGAAATGTGGTTGTTTTTTGCCGGATTTGAACCAGCGATCTACTGTCTCAAGTGGGATATGTGTCCAAGCTATCCAGACTCTACTTGGCAGACCGGCCAAGACGATGTACCACCGCACCACCCAACCATGGCAGCTTTGATAGTGTCGCCTGCACTCTCGCAACTGAAGACTTGGCACGCACAAAGCTCAGTTTGTAAAAACTCCTTGCCAAATTTCAAAATTCCACACCCGTGGAGACAGTATCCATCCTACGCATCAGCTTGTTAACTTGTCCTGAATCCTCTCACGTTCATCCCAAAGAACTGTCTCCCAGATTTGTCCGCCACGCTTTGCTTCCTCCGCCGGGTGTAAATATCGGCGTGGGCGTGTATTTGGCGACCAGCTAAGGCCAGAGAAAGTCGACAAGAGGTGTTTTCATTAGAATAAGGATGTACTATGTCGTACTTGTAGACTCGATGAGGCTTAGGTAGGAATCAGACTCTTTGGAAGTGAATATTTGATATGGTGGAGTATTTGGAATTATTGCCTCGAGGGCCAACTTCTTTGATATAGCGAAATTTGACTGAACTTGGCTCTGGGAGAATATTTCACTCCCAGGTTCGTAGAGGACACCGCGTACAGGTGTTGAGTCTTGCCTTCCTGGATGAGGGTTGACTTGGGGTGAAGAAAAAGCCACCATAACTTCGCAGTGGTACTTGCAAATGAAATCTGAGGCATGAGTGTTCTTCCCTCACGTTGAATCATCTATTCTGTACTTTTTTTTGATATTGTGTCATAGCTAGATAGCTGCATACGCAATTAAAATCTGATGCAAAAAAACCATCTCCCTTCTATCCTTCTGCCTCAACCACTAGTAGTAGTTATTGTTGTTGTTGGTAAAACACGAAGTAATACAAATTGGGTGTCGTCACGAAGTCAGCTGTCCGTCACGAAGTCGGTGGATAAACTCAATTAACTGGAATCTCGAAATACATCTAATGTTGTCCCTTCTCTCTCCCCTTTCTTCCTCTACTCCATGCGCCTCGCTCATGAGCCAAGTCAGTTCCCTCTCAGAGTCCCAACGACATTCTGAGCGCCGCAATGACATTGAACAATTTATACCGCCCAAATATGATTCTTTTACCGACAGTTGCTGAATATAGAATAAAGAATCTGGCCAGTGAAGGTGTTCAAGTATCCGAGAAAGAATGGATATGTAAACATGAATGCATAGTCGACGCAAAGCGTATACGCACCTGATCATGTACATTTCCAATTTACACTACAGCCTTGCCCAACAAGTGTCTGCGATAATCACGTAATGCGTAGTGATATTATTTGATCCTTCAGCTTGTGAGGCAAACCGGGCTGGTGATGATGTCGATTTACTAAACTATATCAGGAGGAAAGGGAACCCTCACTACAACTAACAGGTAATCATGCAAATTGATCCACTTCGTGAATCCATCAAATAATGGCTCTCTTGGCATTATTTTCGCTATCTAGCCACGTATTGTTAAGTGTCACTTGGTTGTGACAGCGATACACTCTTGAATAGTATTACCGTTACGTCCGGTTCCTTCTTTCCCTCCACCTGTTGCCATATCTTCAACATTCCACGTATTAAGCTTGCATAAATTTTGCCATGTAATTGAGTTACTTAGTCTTATCTAGGAAGCCCTTGCTCCCTTGTATAGACCCATAACATGATGCTTCCATTTTTTAGGTAGAAGGTTCCGTGGAAAAGGTGGCTAAATGCTACGGATTTACACCGAGATAAATAGATATTGATAATGGGCAATATATCAATGATCTTCCAAGGAACAAAAGAGGCAAGGGGCAATGTATAAGGTGTAAGCAGGGTCAGAGATGAGCCCAATATGCTATATATTCTATAACCCAAATAGTACAATGAACTAAATATGACGCTTTCGAGTCAAGTTTATTTTCTAGCTTTTAATCGGCCAAGAAATACGTGGGCTTTGCGAGAATCATACAGGCAACGAGGCGTACACAGCGATTCCCGACACATTTATACTTTTCCATCAAAACTTACACCAGATATATGGCTAAAATTTTTATCGAAAATATGTTCATGAATTGGTTGCATTTCAATCTAAAAGAAACTATCACTAAAGCAAAATCATTTAAAACCCTATTCTCTCGTTTCATCACCGTCATGTGTTACCCGCCAAACGCCATGTGTGAACTCCTCCCTGGCCTTGAAACCATCCAAATTAAAAGAGCAAATTAATCGTAAAGTTCCATAGCCTGACTCTCGTCAGTCTCTTCCAAATCATCGATTTCCATTTCTTCCTCAGTAGCACTATCTCCCAGACACTCATGATTCGGTAGTATCTTGATAGCTCCCTTATCTAAAGTTACGCGAGCCGTCTCACCGTCTAGAATACTGCCGCGGAGGAGCATTACGGCAAGCTTATTAAGGACTTCACTTTCAATGAGTCTCGATAGCGGTCTTGCACCGTAATTAGGGCTATAACCAGCAGCTCCTAGCCACTCCTTGACTTCCGGCTCACATTCAATCTTAACTGTTCGGCCGTTGAGATCCATGCGCTTCTGGATTTCTTCCAATCGCACTTCAACAATCTTACGGATTTCGCCCTTTGAAAGCCGGTTGAAGATGATAGTTGCACTAATTCTATTGAGGAATTCAGGAAGAAAGTAGTTTTCCAAAGCTGACTTTACCAAACTCTTGGTGGTATCGTCTATCTTCCCACTTTTGGTAGTTGGTCGTTGTAAAAATTCAGCTCCAATATTTGACGTCATTATAACAATGCAATTGCGGGCATCAATGACCCGACCTTGCCCATCTGTGATACGACCATCATCCATAAGCTGAAGAAGAATTGTCAAAACTTCTTTAGCAGCCTTTTCAACTTCGTCAAACAGTAATATGGAGAATGGCTTGCGGCGCAGTGCTTCAGTAAGTTGACCACCGGCATCGTGTCCAACATAACCAGGAGGTGCGCCAATCATACGACTGACCGTGTGTCGTTCCTGGTATTCTGACATGTCAAGACGTATCATCGATTTAGGGTCATCGAAGAGAAATTCAGCCAAAGCCTTGGTGAGTAGTGTTTTACCAGTTCCAGATGGACCACAGAAGAGGAAACTAGGTGGTTGGTTCGGGTTGCTCAGCCCTGACCTTTGTAGACGGATTTTATCGGAAACAGCTTGCACGGCCTCTTTCTGACCAACTACAACTTTGCCAAGAACTTTTTCCATTTGTAGCAACTTTTCTTTTTCAGTAGTTCTTAGTCGTGTGATTGGAATACCCGTCGCCCTAGAAACAATCTCATTGATCTGATCAGGGCCAACTACATCAGTAATAAGTGAGCCGCCAGAATCAGGATTGTTTGATGCAGACAATGCTGCATCTGCTGCTGCCTTTTCTTTTTCTAGTGACTTGATGAACTTTTCTTGCTCGGGAATGGCATAGTATTGTAAATCTGCCGCCCGTTCATCATCCCCTAGTCGTGTCGCATCATCTTTTTTCACCTTAAGCTGTTCAAGCTTTATCTTTGCTTCCTGAATAGCTCTACCCCTGGCCCTTTCTTGATCATATTTTTCCTTTAGAGGTCTAAGTTCTTCCTCAACATTACTCGCATCCTGCCTAGCTTGTTGTAGTCTTGCTTTGGATGCATCGTCTTTTTCTCGACTCAATGCATGTATTTCAATATTAAGTTGTTGTAGTGTTCTATTAAGTTTGTCAAGTGCTTCTGGAAGTGATTCCCGCTCAGTTCTAACAGCTGCGGCCGCTTCGTCAATCAAATCAACTGCAGAATCAGGCAATCGACGCTGTGTGAGATATCGGGCTGCTAGAGTGGCCGCGGCGACAATGGCGCCATCGGAAATTGTTATACCGTGGTATACTTCGTATTTATCTTTAAGTCCTCGCAGGATAGACACCGTCTCGGCAACAGATGGTTCCTTTACCATTACTTGTTGAAATCTCCGCTCAAATGCCGCATCTTTCTCGATGTATTTCCGGTATTCTGCTAAAGTCGTTGCTCCAATACAGTGAAGTTGACCTCTTGCTAGCATTGGTTTCAGAAGATTGGCTGCGTCCATACCACCTTCTCCACTTGATCCTGCTCCCATCAAAAGGTGCATTTCGTCAACAAAAAGAACAATAAATTCTTTAGAATCCTCTATCTCTTTCAAAAGCCCTTTCATCCTCTCTTCAAACTCTCCCCTGTACTTGCTACCAGCTACTAGAGATCCAACGTCCAAAGAGAGCAATTTACAAGCAGCGAGATTGTCTGGGACGTCATTGTTAACAATTCGTTGAGCTAAACCCTCCACAACTGTAGTCTTCCCTACTCCAGGCTCGCCAATAAGTACTGGATTATTTTTAGTTCTTCTGGATAAAATTCGGATAACTCGTCTTATTTCTCCGTCTCGGCCTATGACAGGGTCGATCTTTCCTTCTCGAGCCATGGCCGTCATATCAATTGTGAATTTTTTTAGATTCTCGAAATCTTCTTCAGAATCGGCTGTTGTAGAGTCGACCCTCTTTGTACCTCTGATCTGTTGGACAGCATCTTGTATTACTTTTGTACTAACTATATTTCCGTCTTTCAAAGCTTGCTGTACGGTTGAGTCTTCGACTAATGCCAATATTAAATGATCAACAGCTATAAAAGAATCTTTCTGTGTCTTCTGACGCTCATGAGCCCCTCGAAGTAGTTTAGTGAAAGCTGGAGACGCAGAAACCTGATCCGGGGGTGGTGTTTGGCTAGGTAGCCGGACGATTGCTTTATTCAACGCACGCTGAAACGCCTGGACATCACCATGTGCGCGTTCAATTATTTGTCGGAAGAGAGATTGTGATGCTGTACCTCGTGAGTTATTAGATGTTTGCTGGTCCTTGGATTCATCTGGGGTCGGATCGAGAAGACTAGAAGCGAGATGTAAGGGTAATAGTTGTGGATGGTCGTTAGTCTGTGCTATAGCTAAGGCGTCGGCTAGGGCCTTGCTTGCTCTGTCTGTGAAGTTCATATTTGCAGAAGCCATCTTGCGTACTAAAATCTGAGGTTTGAGTTTAATCTGATTTTATTGGTGGTTGATAGTAAATGAGTATGAGTCTGAGCAGTTTAATTAATTTGATCTGAATGAATCGTAATTGTGATTGTGATTGTGGACTGTGGAAACGATGGGAAAGGGCATTATATGTAAGATCACTAAAGTATCTAGAAATTACTAGAGGATTTTAGATAACTCTATACCCTTAAAGTATATTCTGGTTACTTCCGCTCGATTACAGTACTTTCTCGATGCTTCCCTGAGATTGTGGTGGCCTCTAGAAGACTGTCTCTATTTCTAGAACTCATTCTTGGCGGACGGCCGATTGATTGGCCGATATCAATCTAGCCAAGCATCGCTCCGACAATACGCCGACATCGATTCGTAATTTCATGGTCATCATCGCGACCGCAACAAGTGACACATGCAATGCGACTCTTGAAGGCCTCGGAAATAGCTCGACGTGCTGCACAAGCACTGAAAGACGCGAAACAGACGGTCACCGTGAAGAAGAAAAATCGATCGAAGAAAACTCCATTTGAAGGCGGCCAACAGATATTCATCTTCTCGCACATCCAAAGAAATTTGGTCGCCTACTCTCTCTCTAGAGCTTTAAATGCATGTCGCCGCGTCTAGAACATATATTTTCAGCTGCTAACATACCCTCAAAGAACAATGAAACCCTTCGCTTTATCCCTTACAACGGGAAAAAAACTGTTCCGTCAGCGCTCCGGAAAGATCTATGGTCTCCATTTGCCACGATAAGTTTTCCAAAGGGATGTGGCAATATCGGTCGCTCAGTCTTTCAAAAGCTACGTGAATATCGACGACGGCATGAGCATGAATGGGGCGAGGAAATCACCAAAAATCCGGAGAATGGGTACTTTATTGCAAAAAAGAAGCGGGCCCGAAAGCTATGTGATCAAGTTGCAAACTCTGTAGCTGATATGGCATATGTATTGGGAAGATTGGACGTCCGAGGACCCGACAACAGCGGTGAAAAAAAAGACACATCAGCCCTCAGCACCACGACACCAAGCACTCAGAATATATCGGAACAAACAAGCATAGTTTCTTCTGATAACAAGTCAACATACGAAAATATTGGTCTTGTCGGTGAAGGTACCGGAAAGCTCGTCCAGATCCATTGGCGAGACATTAGAATGGCTGAATTTGCCCAGAGTTGGTCCAACAATGTTGAACACGGCATACTACCATGGCAGAAGAATTATCGAGACAATGATATTGCAAACGCTAAAAAGAAACTACGTAATGAAGGAAGTTTAATGAAACGAGGGCAAGGGAAAGAGAAAAAACGAGAAAGATCGTATGCAAAGCAGGTGACTAGGCAGCAAGAAGACGGTCGTACAGAAAAGGTACTGGCTTAGCCTACGTTATCATAATAATTTCAGTATAAGCAGTTTACAACGACGCTATCTTCACGAAAAAAATAATTCGGTCGTTATGCAGGTCTTGCGATGCGGATAATTCTGAGAGCACAAGGCTCGATCTTGATAGTAGTACAAAAAATGTTAGGCTTCAAATCATCAATTCTTGGCATTAAGTTCAGCTATCCTGCAAAAATATATTTTATACGGCCAATCTACTATTTTTTTAATCTAATACCCATCAGAGCTGAAGAGCTTCGGATTCAAACTGAAATTGTGGTGGATTCCGCTTTTCGTGATAAGCAAATACAGCTTTCAAACCACTTCTGCAGGGATTCTGACATTTATTTAGGCCTCACGATTTATAACGACGTATTTCCGCGTTAAAAGGTACGAAAGGTAAATAATTGGGCTATTTGGCTAGTGTGGGTAACCCATAGATCAACATCTCCTGTAGATCAAATTGATTATCCACTAGTTCGTCATCGACCAACCATCGATCTCTGTTGTGGGAATATTTTCTCGTCATGCAGTCATAGATATGAAGCTTATAGACATAAGATCAGAAGTTAATGTTAGGTACTAGACGGTTGTAACTATCTGGATATTAGAGATTGTAGATGGGCAATTTCTTATTGTTTCATCTCAGCAATTACACCAAATTGCTGATACGTAATAATTACTGGTATTACAGAGGCCAGATATTATCCGCGTAACCCACAGATGATGGTTGGTTGATTGATTGCCGGAGGTAAATTTCTACCTATGATATGAGAATCTTTTTGTCCGTTGCCCTTGCTGCAATGGATGCAAGTTTCCCCCTATTCTAGAAATGCACGAAAATCTTATTCTGAGGCTCCTTGAGTAAAGTTTACTTTTTTTAGGAAGCAAGCACTCATTCATTTCTAAACTTTGGAATGCAAGGACCCAAATTTGGGCCTGAGTGAAGGCTGATGATGCCGAGTGAAATGTTTGACGAATGAGAAACAAAATTCGATGGATTTTCCATTGACTTTATCAAGCCAGTGACGGACTTTATTTAAAATTACATCCTATTTGGGTCTTTGACTATTAAATTGTGACAGATTTAGAATGATGACGCTAGGAATCCGAAAGTGCAAAAGTTGCGCATTGGATGTCTTGATAACTTATAAGTCAGAATTCACCGTCCTTTGAATTCTCCGATTATCAGGGCGAAGCTTCAGGCGTTGCCAAGGCTCGTGAGTTGGGCAGCCTTTTCTTTTCGATTTAGGGCCCAGCTGCCCTTGGCTAGTGCTTCCTGTGGTAGGGGGCGTACGTGAGGCTGTAAGATCCACCAGGGCCTTTTACACTCCCTCACTATTTTGACTGAACTTTCACCTACAGATTGGTTATTTCCTGATCCATTTTGCTCTAGACTGTCTGGAATGGATTTTAACCGTTCATCCAATTCGAATTCATCTTTCCAGCTTCTTCCTTTGGTCACGTGATACTGTTCTAATCCAACGCGTACGACTTCTTCGACCATCTGCAGGACTGCCTCGTACGATTTCAAATCCCCTGCTCGACATTTGGCCAAAGCGTCTCTCACATTGTGATGCTTAGCAACTAAAGGCCGTAATATATGAAAAAGATGAGGTTGCATAGCTAACAAATTGGGGTTAGTCGTTTTTTCGACTTTCCCTGTCTTCTGTTTCTTTTTTATCGGCCCTTCCTCATCGTGTAATTCTTTTTTTTCCGTATTTTCTTCCGTGGGAAACAAAGGTAGATACAGAGGATTCCTTATTGGGGGAGAGACCTCCAATACATATTTATAGATAATATCAATGTACCTCCTAAATACGGCATCCACTCTCCACCCTGCACTTCCATCTATTCCCCTCCAGTATTCACGGCAGTACTCGTGAGGCTGTGGGGCTTGAGCAAAAATAGTGGGGTCATAGAGATTTCCTTCAGCAGACATCACGGCATCCGCCCCAGTTTCTTGGAGGCACTGCAGGATGTCTTCATGTCTTAATATATTTCCATTGGCAAAGAGAACCGTCTCTTTTGGAAGATTGTCTCGGAGGAAACGTATTGTTTGCCAGTCAGCAAGCCCAGTTTTGTGCCCTTTCATATCTCTAGTTCTACCATGGATTGTGAGAATGCTAGCACCAGCTTTGAGTAAATTCAGTGCATATTCGAGAGTCTTTTCTCGAGTCTCAAGTATCCGTATTTTTGCTGTAACAGGCACATCTAAATTTCTATGCAATTTGTTGATAAGTGAGTATATCAGCTGTTGATCCTCTTGTAGAAAAGCTCCATATCGTCCCTTTTTGGCAATTCCCTGCGGGCAACCTAAATTCAAATCAACCGCATCACAGAATGGCGTGACATACTTAGCCGCTGCAAGGAATTCATCAGCATTATTGGCGCAGAACTGAACAAATAGGGGCCGATCGTATTTGGGATTCCCATCGAGAAAATACTCCGTACCGAGAGAGGGTGGATCGGAGGTGAGCGGGTTTCGAAGAGGCTGGAAATGCGAATCACGATACTTTGGTATGGTACCAAACATTCGAGCATGAAACATAGGTGAATATGCCAGGAGTTTGCGACAAGAGGGTGTCATGTAAGAGCGCGTCAACATTCGCCACGCCTAGTAGCAGTATTAGAATCAAATTCAATGCCTTACTTTGGAGTATAAGTTAACGCGTACAAATTCTGATTGGTCTACCATGGGAGCGAGAACAAATTTTGGGGATCCTAGGCTTTCATAGAATGCCCGACCGTGCAGTTTGTGGGTTTGAGAAAATTCATCAACTATGTGTTCGGGTGAAGGAGTGACCGATGGCGGAGGGTTGGGAGTACTCGATACGGCGCCTTCGCATGAAGGTACCATGGCCTTTATTGATTGAGTTGGGAACAGCCACCGGCTGCTTACCCACGGCTTGAGAATGTTCAAAGGAATCGCCAGCGTGAAAAAAAATTGCCTAATACAATACACGGGATAAGCTCATTTACATGTGCCGTGTTCTTGCACAAGGCTAGCCAGCCCTGTCATTCGTGATGGGCTCCTTCAAGCCAGGTGGTTGGAGGAAAACGGCTGATTACCTATCGGTGGTGTCCTCTATGCACCCGAGAATGCTACATTTTCTCCAAGTCATGATTCGTTCATCTTTAAACGGTCATATCAATATTGTTCCAGACCAATACTTTTGTCTACAGGAGCAGTGCTTGGCAGTTTTTGGTCGGAACTCCCGGTTTTCAAAAGTTTCTCTACAGCAAGAAACATTAAGGAAATAATCAAGACTGTTCAATCTCATGTTCAAACTGAATACCGCACTCCCCCTCGAGAAACCTGACAATTTCCGAATTCCCTATTTAATGCTGAATGAAGTCACAGCACAACCCGCGACCCTTTGTTCCAACACTATTTTCGATAGGAAATTATCAGAGGAGGCCAAGCTTGGGTTACTGATTATGAATATTCTATGACCAAATGAAAGTCTACGAGTGAAGATGGAAGAGATTTCATGCCGTAGAAGCTATTGAAGTGGATTAGAATAGAAGTCTTAAGGTTGAAAGGGTATCACTTAGGAGGTCGGCAGAGGCGTTCAATCCTTCAAATCCCTTATAAATTTTTGAGGCGCTGAGCATTGGCTGGGACTCACTTTTTAAGTTGCCGTGCTCTTTTAGGGCGCTGGCACGTCGTGTAGTGTTTGCAGACTGAGCTAACTGGCACTTGGCCCGCGGTCTATATTTTTTACCTTACACATTGACCTATTTATTTTCCGAAAGACCTTTTGTCCAGGGGAAAGGGAGGACTCTTTGCTGGTCAAGGTTAGAAAACAGACTTTAAGGCATTTCTTCGCTACTGTTTCTCCTAAGCTTCCACGACCTCACGTAGTTCATCAGGGTATGAACCGACCTTAGTCATAATATAGGATAAAGATTAAATAATAGATGGCTACTCATAAAAAAAGAGCACTCAAGCCTCGGATTTCATTTGCGAGTAGCACTACAAAGTCCTGGCGGCTTTTTCTTCACCCCAATTCAACCCTCATCAGTGAATACCCACCCAGGGAAACATCTCAAAAACCGTGAGATATGCAGGCATGCCTCCACTGTTTACTGAAAAGTCACAGAGCGAATCTATTCTGAGGCGTCCCCATTATAAGTGAAGTGGGTACCCAGGCTGCTGAAATTAAACCGGAGAACACCAACAGGAGGCGAACCACGGCGCTTTCCCTGATTGCTTTTTTCTATAACATTTAATGTGTATTCAGCTATCTAGCTATGACACATGACCGGTGCTATGTAAACATGTACGATGACTCTTTTGACGTTAGAGACACTCATACTCTGGATTTCATTCGCAAATACCACTATGAGGTAAGCTTGCTTACACAAACAGTCGAACCTCCTCCGTAAGTACCCACCAAAGGGACGTTTCAAAACCTCTGGTTATCCAAGCATGCCTTCGTCATCCATGCACACCAGCGCCGCGAGAAATGTGGTTGTTTTTTGCCGGATTTGAACCAGCGATCTACTGTCTCAAGTGGGATATGTGTCCAAGCTATCCAGACTCTACTTGGCAGACCGGCCAAGACGATGTACCACCGCACCACCCAACCATGGCAGCTTTGATAGTGTCGCCTGCACTCTCGCAACTGAAGACTTGGCACGCACAAAGCTCAGTTTGTAAAAACTCCTTGCCAAATTTCAAAATTCCACACCCGTGGAGACAGTATCCATCCTACGCATCAGCTTGTTAACTTGTCCTGAATCCTCTCACGTTCATCCCAAAGAACTGTCTCCCAGATTTGTCCGCCACGCTTTGCTTCCTCCGCCGGGTGTAAATATCGGCGTGGGCGTGTATTTGGCGACCAGCTAAGGCCAGAGAAAGTCGACAAGAGGTGTTTTCATTAGAATAAGGATGTACTATGTCGTACTTGTAGACTCGATGAGGCTTAGGTAGGAATCAGACTCTTTGGAAGTGAATATTTGATATGGTGGAGTATTTGGAATTATTGCCTCGAGGGCCAACTTCTTTGATATAGCGAAATTTGACTGAACTTGGCTCTGGGAGAATATTTCACTCCCAGGTTCGTAGAGGACACCGCGTACAGGTGTTGAGTCTTGCGCTCCGCCTGAACGCCTTGATTCCTTGACAATAATCTGAGTCATGACACGAGCCGTGCTACATCATATTTCATTATTTCCGTTCCCAGCAGCTTCCTAATCGAGCTAAGGCCGACTATCTTACTGATTGCAGTCGCTAGAGCTTCCCTTATTATGCTGCAATAATCTCTTAGCTTAGAAGTAACGAGTTGGGTCATGTCATGGTTAACCACAAATGATCCTTCTTGGAGTAGTATGTACTTACATATGGATCATGGAGTTAAGAGAGTTAGAGAAGTAGGAATGGTACATGCAAAAGTTAGGGGCTGTGCCCGGATTGGGACTGGTCACTAGGACCAACCCGGCTAGATCTTTAAGCGCCAACGAAGCAGCGCTTACAGAGACGCGAAAGGTTGCATGGGAAAGAATGCAAGTACAGTCTCTTACGGGTGACAAAGGTAAAATTGTCAAAATGACTGGGGTTAGATCCCTATACATTGTGCCTTATTTGGTATGATCTTCATGCAGGCCCATGTCTAGTTACTCGACTAGTTATGCAAGCAAGGGGCACTATCCAATGACATTCCGTGAAAGTCTAAATTATGGGGATGGTTTTGAACTCAATGGGAAAGGTACAATAGTCCTCAGTTGAAATTCAAAATTGAAAAACGTCAGTTGATAGTCTCTAAAAATGCACATCTATTTCAAAAATTATTGCTCTGTATTACAAAAGTCTACATCGAAGCCCTCAGTATGGCTCGCAACTAAAATGAAAGCGTACTACATGTTTTGTGTGTCTTCTCCATCCTAATACTTTGTGTACCCTCCATTTGCCTTTATCACTGCTACACATCTTTCGTGCATGCTGCCAACTAGTGACAATAGCTCCTCTGAAGATATAGAGTCCCATGCATCCTGAAGCAATGTCTTCGCCGTGGCAGAGCGCACAAGCCTGACCCCATTTTTCTCTGGACTATTTACCTGAATGTGGTTTTTTATGATATTCCACAATGACTCAATTGGGTTCAGGTCCGGAGATTAAAGTGGCCATCTCATAGGCGTTATTCCAACCTCACGTAGCGCCTTAGTTGTTGAGTACGCTTTGTGACATGGTGCGTTGTCGTGCATGTATAAAATTTCTGGATTTTCCGAGTGAAATTGATTCAAAATTGGCAAAATCCTTTCACAAAAGGATGAGGCCCTCATTGATCCCCAATCCTTCTCCCAGACTAGGAATGAGCCTTTTTGTGATCCATAAAATGATCCCCAAAACATCCAGCTGTTCCCATGAGCATGGCGGGCCACAATACAAGTCTCATCAAACTCATCATCAGGCTAAACTCTGCTGTTAGTAAAAGGAAGATTTAGATAGAATTTAAACGTACTTTTCTTGTGACACGAGATTTCATATAACAATCACCCGAAACCCAGGTTTCATCAGTCCACAGTATGCGACTCCATTGTTCATCGCTCCAATCTAGATGTAATTGGGCGAACTCCAATCTTTTCTGTTTGTTCACTGCGCTTAACGGAGGCTTCTTCCGAGCAATGCATCTGCTGTAGCCTCTTTTTTTGAGTGCGTTAGAAATTAGACGTTCACTGCATCCCCAGTGGCTGAAGGGCCCCATGGCTAGTTCCAAAAAGCACATCTGCCGATTTTCAGGTGACTCCCGGACGAATGCTTCAAGGTCATCAACTTGTTCTGCGCTTAATTTTGGTAAGGGTCCTTTGCGAGACATAGGATTCTCAGTCTCTCGAGCACACGCAAGTTGTACTTGTCTTATTGTGAAGCCAAGTTTGTCGGATATATTTTGAAGCGTCAAGCCAAGTCTTCTTATTGCTCTTATTTCTATACATTGATCGCGAGTTAGATGCTTGCGAACTTTAGTTTCTGAAGCAAACTTTTCGAGAGACATTGTTTGCTAGAATAGAGGATGAATTAATAGTAGTGAGAAGTTTCAGTGATTGTGTAGGCTTGGCAGCCAAAAATGTCGTCGAAAATGTGTTTCTCTAAGCGATTATTAGAAGAAGACGATTGGACCATACTTCATGGCGAGCGGGGTAAGGAGGAGAGACATACTAACCTATTACGAGCTAGCCCAACTGCACCTACAGGGCTAATCCCTTCAACGACCCAGTTTGAAGTTTTACCTTTTGGAACCTAGAGGCACTGTATTCGCAGAAAGAGGGATCTAAGTGTCGCATAAGGATAATTGCAAGGTTGCGCATGAGGAAGGATCCAAGGGAGTACGTACTAAGGGGGGGAGGATGTCACAGGAAAGAGGGTAGCCGGGGAGAATGGAGGATTCTCAGGTAGGTTGGGAGGGGAGCTTAAACGCGACGCTGAGGAGGACATAAAGGACAGGAGCCGTCGTAGGCGAATTAGCCTCCTAAGGAAAAATTATCAATTCCCATTGAGTTAACGTCTTTCAAGTACTTCTGAATTCTTTAAACCTTTTACAGCAAATTTGAGTAGGAATATTAGAGCATAGAGATGTATTAAAGGAACTCGGTGGACATTGATGTTCAGTAGCTTCTTGTATTATTCATGTTCTAGAGATATATTGAACTATGTCTTGAATCATGTCTTGAACCTCGCTCACATTAAGCCTGAGATTCTCGTAGAATAGCGCGAGCGTGAAATGAGCAATATTAGCCGAGAAGTCGGGCTATTGAGCTAAGGAGCTAAGTAAAGTTTCTGTATCACAAGCACTAAAGGCTGCTAATTGAACGCCTCCGTGGAGGGAGGGTTGTGTGCTTAGTGATAATGGGGATGTG